TTCAATAGATTGGTCATTTCACTGGAGGCCAAAGCTGATCTGATTTTGCTCCTTTGTAAACCAGCGAAAATAGCAGACAATGTTGCAGTGAGAGTAAGTCCTGATTTATGGTTCAGAAACCAGCAGGGCATCAGATTCATAACAGGATTCATGGGCAGTGGATGCTGGGTTCCCCAGATTTTCTGGGGAAGAGAGGCAAGATTTAGGATGGGAGAAAACCAGAACCCAGCACACAGAAAGAATGAACACAGCATGAGACAGTGGTGTTGAAAGTGACCAAAACTATAGCAGATGGCTAGTGGTGGAAATGGCTGTGGCTGTGCTGTGCTGTTCTGGTACAGGCTTCAGACACATTCAGAGTGGTCTGTGCTCGGTCCTTGCCACAGAGCCCAGGGAGCTGGCATACAATCAGGGAGGTGTTGCATCAGTTTTTGAAAAGAATATCTTTCAGTGAAGGCTTTCTTGGCCCACTATTAAAATTCAACTTTCTTTCCTGAGCACACACACATGTGGACTCGGCCAAGGGGGAGACACAGATTTGCTGCGTGCTGGGGAAAACCAGTGAGGAATGAAGTACCACTGTGAGTACGTGTGGCCCTGCCTCGTACTGAAACTGCCATGTGTTGGGATGTAGATTTATGAAGCTCATGTCAGAATCTGTCGAGATCATTTTCAGAATATTCACAAGTCAGTGTTCATCCTAACAACAGGCAAAAGGCAGTCTTGAACATTTTCTAAGAGTTGCTGCTACCTGAGAGGGACACTCGCTTTTCAAGGACTTAAAAAATTTGGATGTCTTTGAATATTTCTGTATCATGGTAGTCACACAATTTGATGGCCTTATTATTCTCCAGCTTGCTTTTTATTTGCCGGCCATCAGGCGGCAAGGTATATTCTGTTTCCTCTATATTAGCGTACATCTGATACTTCCTTCAACTTAGACATGCTGTTGAGCTTTGAAACTTGTAAATTGTTAATGAGCTGATTGCAGATTTAGAATCATTCAGGTGTTCCCGGGGATTTCCTTAGGTGAAAAGTGGGAAATAGTTGGTGTTTCTCTTTTTCCAATTTTCACCATCTACAAGTTTGCACTTTACACACCTGGAGCCTCCTGTTTTGGGCCACCTGCTCTGTGGATCCAGGTTGACCCCACATCCCTGTTAACAGCCCCTCATTCCCAGAAAATCCTTCCCTCCATTCTTTTTTCTCTCTGTCACATTGCTCCCCTGGAATTCAGGCAGGAGCAGTCATCCTAGTCAAATTTCTGCTCACATATGAACAAAAAAACTTTTTCTTTGGTGGAACACTGACTTTTAAGAGGCTTTGATGATTTTATGGAAAGATGGTATCTCAGTAAAAACATCTCCATGGATTGCAGGGAGGGTGGCTACACTATTTACAGTGTGCTGTAGAGTTTTCAACAATCTCTGCCCTCTGCTCCTCAATTTGGTGTGTCTGGAAGCGATCGGTGATATAGGAGTTGGAATAATATACATTTGTGTTTTAGCAGGCTTCTCAAAACATGTGACCAGGTATAGAGACAATCAACCTGTTGCCCTTTAATAATCACAGGGTAGAAGAGCTGCAAAGTAGAGCAGATTTTATTTATTTATTTATCTGTTTGTTTGTTTATTTATTTAGAGAGGGATCAAGGGAGAAAAAGAGAATATTCCATCTGCTGGCTAACTCCCCAAATACCCTTCATTACCTGGAACTGGGTCAGCCTAAAGCCAAATCAGGGTCTGATTTTTTAAAAAAAGATTTATTTATTTTTATTTCAAAGTCAGATATACAGAGAGTCACTCCCCAAGTAACTGCAACATCAGGAGCTGAGCCGATCTGAACCAGAGCTGCTTCTGGGTTTCCCACATGGGTGCAGGGTCCCAAGGCTTTGGGCCATCTTCAACTGCTTTCCCAGGCCACAGGCAGGGAGCTGGATGGGAAGCGAGACTGTCAGGATTAGAACCAATGCCCATATGGGATACTGGCACAAGGACTTTAGCCATCAGGCTTTCACACCAGGTCCAGGGTCTGATTTCTAAGTGGCAGGAAACCAAGTATTTGAGCCATCACTTCTCTCTCGCAGGGTGTGCATTAGAACAAAACTGAGATAGGAAATGAAGCTATGCCTTAGATATAGGCATTTGGAGAGAAGATGTGGATGTCCCAAGTTACAGCTCAACTGCTATGTCCATAAAAAAAGACTGTTAAATGCTTCAGGTAGCAGGGGTCCAGGTGGAGAAGCTGGGCCCCAGAGTCATCTGTAAGGAGCTGTAGCAGAGACTCTAGTGAACCTGATCAGATTATTTGCTGGGGCTTCTGGAATGGTTCCCTGTAGCTGCAGTTCCTACCTAAGTGATTTTGAGTGCTGGTTGGAGAATATGTGTGAGTACTAGAAGGTATGAGATGTCACTGTAGGACAAAGTGGTGTGGTAGTTTGTCCCTTGTATAGGAGAAAGCTGGGAAAGACTGTCCTTGGCTGTCAAGACAGTTCTCAACCAGACCTGCAGTGGCTGGGGAAGGACTGGCCAAGCAATTGTTCTGCTCACGGCTCAGGAGGTTCCCTGTCTAGGTCTTCCCTGTTTTCTTTGGATTTTACACATCTGGTAAATGTGTACAGTTAGTGAGCTTTGTTCTTCCTCTATTTCCAGAACTTTCTGGACATGTATCCCTGTCTAAGCTCTCTTGAGAGCAAGAAAAGCATTCCAGCCTCTTGGCAGAAGGAAAAGAAGCCACATAACGAGATTCTCACACAGCAGCAAGAGAGCAGCCCCAAAGGGAGGGAAGCTTCATTAGAACATGGAAGGGCAAGAGCGGACATGCAGGTGTGGCCGGGGTAGCCACCCCTCCATCCTCAAAGGCTTTCCTTTGATTCAGGCCCTGGACAGGATGTCTGTGGCATTTCAGGGCCCAGTATGAACATCTTGGCTGGGACTAGATGGTCCTATTTTGACGTGATCGGGAGAGCTATGTCAATGGCTCTGTCGCCACTTGCTTCCACCTGTCCCTCCAGTCCCATTGTGTTTGTCCAGTGTCAGAATCAACAGCCACACTGAGAGGATGCTCAAAAGTAAGCAGATACCCAAGTCAATTCAGTGTCACCCTCTGTGTGCCTAAGGAAACTTACTTTTTAAAAAATGCAACCAAAATGTATTCTAGTCTTGCTTTTAAAAAAGTAAACATGAACCTGGCAGCTCCTCTCACCTTGAAGAAGAAATTCAAAGTGGCAGGATTGCACAAAGGATCTGTCACCCCTAAATGGACAGTTCCTTCTGTCCAGATACCCACTTATAAGCTGCTTGTCCAAATATGATTTTTATAAGCTGAGCTGTCCACCTGTTTTCTGGTTGTTTTAAGGATGACTGGTGCTGTACTTGATGCAGTGATGATTGTGTTATGCTTTGGGTCATAATTTCTGTTTTATTTGGTCACTTATTTTCGTTGAGCATGATATCTTTTGGATCCATGTCGGTGTCTAGAGCAACTGCTCTGCTATACCATTTCTTTTCTTGTGAGCAATTCTGTAATAAATATGTCATGGTTTTCTACTATCTTCTTAACACATTTTTCTTTGCGAAATGTGATTTAAATAGGCTTAGTTCAGGATCTGAAGCTCCTAATGTCCTCTGCAGGTACTTTGATTTGCCTTTGTAAGTGAACAGCAATATCTATTCACTTCCATTTTCTCACCAATCACGTGGAAGAAGCAATAACTTGTCCTTTGCCTTCCTCACGACCTAGTGCTCTAACATGAAAGGAAGCTACTGCAAGAAAGCTGGCCTTTGAAAATCAGGCCGTCTGTCAATTCTTTTTCTGTAACTCCATTCCCTAGGTATTCGGGGGGTCAAGTATTGAACTTGGCCTTTGTTTGCAGAAGAAAGAAAAAAAAGGATCAGGAACTTGGTGGTGAGGGAGTCTGATATGCCAGCCTTCTCCTCTGGCTACGACAGGAGGACGCATGGCTTCCTCCACTTAGTCTTCAGTCCAGCAGTGATTGGTTTGGCTTCTGCTTTGCTTCTTCTGTATATACCCTCCCAGAGATTTTCGCAGACACTCATTCTTATCATAGCATGTGAGATGTGCCATGGATTTTTCTGCTTGGATCATTACATTTTTATTACCTAAGTGACCTTAGAGAGGTCGAGCCCATAGTCCCTGACGGAGCTCCTACACCGATCACCCCTGAGGGCTTCAGTCTCCTTGCTTTGGGATGTTAGAGATCCCCGCATTTCTGGAGCTGAGAATCAAGTGGCTAACATGTGTCACAGCCCTGGTACTAAACTCTTCCCCTGACAAGGACTCTTAAGAGTGTTGTGAGAGTGATAGAGGCTGATGTCCTGACATGTTTGTTTAGGCTGCCTCCCTGTAGCACCCCATGTCTGAATGCCGGCTTGCATCTTGGCTGGTCTGCCTCTAATTCTGCCCCATGCTAACACATTTTGGAAAGCAGTGGAAGATTGCCTATACCTGGGCTCTTACCACCCATGTGGGACATCTGAATGCAATTCTACATCCCTGGCTTCCAACCCTGGTTGTTGCGGGCATTTGGGAGAGTGAACCAGTGAGTGGAAGACCTCACTTTGTGTGAGTCAGCCTTTCCAACAGATACATACATTAACAAGGAGTACTCTGGCTAGAGAAAAACCAGAAGGGACCTGGCAGGGGGAGGCTGGGTTTCGGTGTCCACTCGACAGTACATCTTGAGATCAGCATTACCTTGCACATCTCTCATCCACTCTGTGATAGTTGTACACCTGCCCATTCCTCCTAGCCCCAGGTGACTGTTCTGAGAGCATGCTGATAGTTTTGTGCAAGAGGAAAATATTCTTCTCCACAATTACATATAATTAAGCATCTGTGGTTATGGGATTCTCTCGGAACAATAGTACTCTGAGCCAACAAAACACCATGGCTGCCTGATAGTCACTCATTGTCGTTCTCTTTCTCCCTGAAGATCACCTGGCCTCTGCAGGGTGCTGTGCCACCATGATCTCAGCGGGCTGATGATGGAAGAAAAGGCAACCAGGCAACCCAGTGCTCTAGTCTCCCTGCACCATGGATGGCCAGCCATCTGACCCTTCACCCTTGGTGCCTCTTGGCAACATGTCAACAGACTCTAGCATGTCCCTGGAGCAGAAGACAACCTTCGTTTTTGTGGTTTTATTGTTTATTTTCTTGGGCATCCTCATCGTCAGGTGCTTCCGGATTCTGCTGGACCCGTATCGGAGCATGCCAACCTCTACCTGGGCTGATGGCCTTGAAGGCCTGGAGAAAGGGCAGTTCGACCATGCTCTGGCTTAGCCAGGGGGAAGCAGGGCCTCCTCCTTAGGAGGCAGACAGCTGCATGGGGTGATAATGAGTCACTTTAACCAATGGTCTGAACAAATCAAACTCTAACACTGTCTGGTCCGGGACTCACACTCCATTAAGCTATAATCATACAGCAGGATTAAAGGCATTTGAGGAAGTTGGAAATGCAGGTTTCTGCTGCTAATCCCAAACGGGAACTTTTACATTTCTGTGTATACTCAAGCACTGAGGATGTATGATCATGACGCCCAGGACACAAAACGATGCACTCCGTAATCCGACCAGAGAAGAAGAGTGGGAAGGAACCGATCTGAAGCTGGAGACAGGACCAGAAGAGACTGACTTGTTCTAGCCATATCTCCTCTTGATTGATTTCCCCGGCCTCTGGCCGAGAGCGGAAGAAGCTTTCGAGGAGACCCCAGCATGTTCCAGAGCAGCAACTTGGAGAGCAGTGGGGAAGACTGAGAAGTGATGTCTCTGTTGTTGGTAGAATATGGGAATGAGGGGAATAGCTTATTTTCACATAAAAACTGAATTTAAAAGCTGTAGGATTTTAGAAACTATTTACCAAGCCAAGTACATTCTCCGTATACACATTAGTGACCTGTGTAGAGATAACTATACATAACTTGAATTTCCTTTATTTATGCAAATGATTGAAAAATAGATTGTGTTGCTACAGTTTTTAACTAAAGATTGTTTAGAGGAAAAGACTTTTATAGTCTCGAGAGGAATGTATGTTTATGACTGTGTAGATTCACTAAATAAAACTTTTCAGAAACACAAGTGTTTCCTCTCTCGTTTCACCAAGCTGGGTCCACTGGAGGTGGCGTTGAGTAACATGTTGCTTGTTGAGTAACATTCCCCTAAGCCAGAAGTGAAAAGAGCGCTGAGTGTGAAAGTTCTAACTCATCCCTCCTGTATATCCACCAAAAGGAAGTTGTCAACATCGCTTCTTCACTTTGCATGCAAACCAAATCCCATGTGTTGCACTTAAGTTTATATCTTTGAATTATGTCCACAGATAACCATTATTTAAAAAAATTTTTGTTGTTGGAAAGGCAGAGTTACAGGAAGTAGGAGATACAGAGAGAAAGATCTTCATCCACTGGTTCACTCCCCAAGTGGCTACAATGGTCAGATCTGAGCTGATTCAAAACCAGGAACTTCTTCTGGATCTCCCATGTGGGTACAGAGTTCCAAGGCTTTGGGCCATTCTCGACTGCTTTTCCAGGCCACAAACAGGGAGCTGGATGGAAAGTGGAGCAGATGGGATATGAACTAACACCCCTGTTGGATCCAGTGCTTATGAGGGGAGGATTAGCCAATTGAGCCATCACACTACGCCCACCATTATTTTTCTAAAAGTTTGTTTATTTTTATTTGAAAGGCATATTGAAAGAGAAAGAAAAAGAGAGAGAGAGATTCTTTCTTCTACTGGTTTGCTCCCCAGATGGTCACAGTTGCTGGGGCTGTGTCAATCTGAAGCCATAAGCCTAGAGATTCTTCTGGGTCTCCCACATGAATGCAGGGGCTCAAGGCCTTGGAATATCCTCTGCTGCTTTCCTAGATTACAAGCAAGCAGCTGGATGAGAAGCAGAGCATCTAGGACATGAACTGGTGTCTGTGTGGAATGCCAGTGCCGCTGGCAGGGGATTAGTGTGCTATGCTACTGCACTGGCCCCTATATTTTTAATTGAAAATAAGTTACAAACATAAGTCTAAACAAACAGGCCTTAGTAGAACTGATAGTTGACTCTTGGGTTTTTACATACACTTTGGATTTTTTTTTAAAGATCTATTTATTTTTATTGCAAAGTCAAATATACAGAGAGGAGGAGAGACAGAGAGAAAGATCTTCTGTCCAGTGATTCACTCCCCACATGACCGCAGAACTGCTGGTGCTGAGCCGATCTGAAGCCAGGAGCCAGGAACTTCTTCCAGGTCTCCCATGCGGGTGCAGGGTCCCAAGGCTTTGGGCCGTCCTCAACTGCTTTCCCAGGCCACAGGCAGGGAGCTGGATGGAAAGCGGGGCTACCGGGATTAGAACCAGCATCCACATGGGATTCTGGCGCATTCAAGGCAAGGACTTTGGCTGCTAGGCCACGCCGCCGGGCCTCACTTTGGATTTTCTGATGTTTGTTCACTCTCCACTGCCTTTACCTCCTTGGATTGTTTCTTTATTAATTTTTTCTTAATAAATGCTTTTTGAAATATAATTCCTAGATCATATCACTTGCCCCTTTAAAGTATAAAACTCATCAACTTTTAGTATTTTCGAAGAGTTCTACATGCACCACCAGCTTCATGTATTAGAATCCTGAACTCACCAACAGTTACTGTCTCTATGAGTTTCATATAAATGAAATCAAGTAGGATTGTCTTTAGTGCTTGACCTAGTTATTTAAGTTTTGTAAATTTGTTTTTATTTATTTGAAAGAGAGATCCCATTTGCTCGTTTATTCTCTGTCTGCAACAGCTGGGGCTCAACCATGTCAAATGCAGGAGGCAGGAAGTCCGTTGAATGTCCCATGTGGATGACAGGGATGTAAGTCCTTGACAGCCTGTCGCTTTCCAGGGTGTACATTAGCAAAAGCTAGATCAAAAATGTACCTAGGCCTTGTGATGTGGGATTGTGGATGTTCCGAGCGATGACTTAACCTGTGGCACTACAAAATCCATCCCTTGCTTGTTTCACTTAGGTCATTCCCTTGCTGTAACATTCCAGTGCTTCAATGTAGCACATTTTGTTTCACCCTTTGGTTGTCATGGTTATCCACTGGCTAGTAGGAATATGCTGTGAACACGTGGGTACAAGTGTTGGTAGGGCCCTGTGCTATCCAGTCTCATAGGTGTATACTCAGGCGTGGATTTGTTGGGTCGTGTGATTTTTCTGCCTCATTTGCTGAGGAGCTTTGTGACAGTTTCCCAGAGCACCTGCATCATTTTTGCACTCCCAGCACTAATGTCTAAGAGTTCAGATTCTCTTTTTGGCTCTCTTCAATGACTCCAATTTCCTTTGTAATGGCACAATTCATAATTAGACACACCCCTCGAAGATAGACTCAGTTCAAGAAGAGTGCGCCATTTTGTGCTTTCTGCCTGCTACACATGTGTAGATATCATCAAAGCTCTTTGCTGCTGGATCAAAACAAAAAAACTGTTGACGTGTGACACTTGGTCATGTGGTGGCCGTGAAGTCGCCTCGTAATTTTTCTGGCTAACACAGGCTTTTTGAATCCTCTGATTGTGAGGCTTTCCCGTTCCTCCTGCCCCTCTGTCATGTGTGTCCATATTGGGTCTTTTTCTCATGTTCTTGAGAATCCGTGCTGTGCTCAAATATTTATGGATCTTGTTGGGGGAGGTAATAAGTGAAAGAAACATGTGACTGAATCATGCCTGAAATGCCTCGCATGGGCTTATGTTTCTTCTGCCATCAGAATTGTGTGTGTGAGGGGAGGCTCCTAGGAACACCATAGGAAAGTTGTGTGTGACAGTGTTACAAATGTACCAAGAGATTATAGGAAATACAGCAGTCATCAGAACTCTGTCACCTCAGGGTCACCACAACTCCTTAGTTTCTGCTGGAAAGCTGGTTGAATATGGGCATTACTACAACCTTCTTTCCTGAAGGGTTGATGCCATAGACTTGGATAAGTAAAAATACTCCACAAGAGAGGGGGAGAAAAAAGGAAATATGCCAGGAGACAATGGCTCAAGTGTGTGAGAATGTTCAGTTTAGGTGCTTGAGTAGGAGACTTTGTACGATGTAAGTTAGCATCACTACATACGTGACATCTTGACCCAGCAGGTCGTTGGTGTTTCAGAGATGTGCAAAGGAAAGGAAGAGGGAAAGCTGTAGAATAAGCCAGCAGCAGTGTGGGTGTGGGGCCCAGAGCTCAGCAAGCAGCCCAACTAAAGCAGAGAGCTGGAGAGACACAGCTGAAGCTCCTGTGGAAAAGACAAAGGCAGGGCAGGTCATCAAAGAAAAATTAAATGTGGGAGTCGCTAGACCCACGAGGAATAAAATGCTGTGAAGAGTGTTATGTGAGCTCCAGCTTCTGCACCCTCCCTCAGGGTGACACTGGTGTCCACTTCTATAACAGGAACAGACACAACCAGCCACCTGCCCTTCTGTGTGCTCCGTAAGCACTAGGATTGCCGGGAAGGGCATGGAACCTCCCCAGGCCCTCTCTGCTTTCTTCCCTCCCTCTGTTTTCCACTCTATTTTTGTTTTTCCTTCTCTTATTACTACTCTTGAGCTGCCTCCCTTCCCTGGGTGTCCCACTGCTGCTTCAGTTAGAGTAAGAGAACCCCAAAGCTCAGGCTCTCCAGAGTAAGTCAATCTCCTATAGGGAAAGTGCAAAGTCCCTGGAATTGCTCTGGGCTCCTTGGAAGAGCAGCAGATTCTCAAAAGGTCACAGAAACACTTGCTTTCTTGACTTTGGCTACAGCAGTGCAGTATTTTCTCCCTCATACACAATATTTATAACAATTGCAGCTGGCCTTTATCGTGTCTTTCTACAACCCAGAGTTAAAAAAAAAAAAATGAGTTTCCCAAGGTCATTCTCAGAAATAGTGACAGAATCTGCTGTTTGATTCAGGAAAAATGTGGCATCCTTGTTCTTAGTCTCACTGCTGGGTCTCAACTCCATGGGTTATCACCCCCAGAGAGCGCAACTTTCAGGTTGACAGCACTCTTTCCTAGGGCCTTCCAAAATATCCTAAACACCCTGTACAGCAAGTTTACCTTTGGATGTGAAGGAGATTAACTCAACTCCTGCTGTTAAATTAATAAACTTTCCAAAAAGGAGAATTCTTTGGCTGCCTTTAAGGGTTAAGGCTGAGGAAGAATAAACAACAATTTTAGAAGGCAGAGTTAGATTGAGCCGATGTTTATGGATTCAGGAAAAACATGTATTCAAGTTTCTTTTTATTGAATTCATTGCACAGTGTTTGAGTTGAACACTTCAGTTTGCATACTGCAAATATATAGAGAAATGAGGTATGCTGAGAAACTTAAGTTGTTCACGAAGCAGTGAAGGAAAATCTTGCTTTTTTTTCTACGTAACTTTTAGATTTGATAGATAAAACAACAAAGCTCCATTATCTTTGATAAATATTCTAACCTCCAAAGTATTAAATAAAAGCTGAGATGTGATTTTTTTTTTCAGATGTGAGTCTCCACTGAACCACTTCCTGATTAGTCACAGGGTACTCAAGTAGAGCCATCGTCTCCAACAACAGGTGCTTAAGTCACAGTACATGCATATGAAGTCTAAGACCAAGCTGGCCCATTTCATAAGAGACCATGTGCTTGTTCTGAGATGGGCAAGAATCTAGGCTCTGTGTATCCCTTTGGGTTCTAACAAGGATATTGTTTCCAGCCTGCAAAGGACAGCCTCCCCATCCTGCAGTTGGCTCTGGTCAGATGGCCTCAGGTCTCACACTTCAAGGTCACGTTGTTTTAAGAATAGAGTTCCCTGGTGCATTCAGTACACAGTGGAATTGAACTGAATTGAATTGTTGCTATAGACTGGTACTCTGATCTGACCTCGCCACCCCACAACCTTCCCCAGTATTCTGATCCACACTGCTTTAAGAAAGATTCCTTGATGGAAATTTATCCTTTCAGTGGATGCTACCCTGTTTCCTTCTAAGCCCCATGACCTACTCTAGAGCACCAGGCTTACAGTAGCTTTGACAAAAGTGGTTTTTCCTGAGTTCCTCGGAGCTTGAAAAGCTGAAAAGAAATATTGCTATCAGGTATTCTGATTGCTCATT